TTGTTAACATGAAGAACTCAGATTTATGATGTTTGTGACTTTACTGTGTGACTCTGCCTATAATGCTTGTGCAGTGCCATGAAAACACTGGCTGGAGGACAACTGCTGAGGTCAGTGGGATGGAGAACCAGAAGGAACAGAAAGGAGCTCCCAGCCCTGCTCATGTTGAAGTCCTGACCCTATTACTCGTGTGTTTTACAAATGCAGCTGAAGACCACCCTTTTTCACAGCTTGAGTATAACTTCTGCAGTAATATGACAACTGGCAGAAAAATCCAAGCAGAAGTAGGCCCTGTACCTTTGTCTTCTCCTTGCAGCACTTTACTGTTTCTCATGAATCTGAATTCTTGACAAAGATCATGAGGAGACTTGCATGTGCAAGGGAGTAAATGGACAAGTGATCTGGGTGTGGTTCAAAGTTCACACTGTAGACATGAAGTCCATGCTTCCTTCCTAAGGCAAATATTAGGGAGAGGAAAGCAAAGAATAGGCTGTGACTCGGCTTATCAGGTTCCACACTTAAGACAGCAATGAAGGATAAGAATCATTTATTAATACAGATCAGGTCAGCAGTAAGTTAGCACTTTCCCACAAGACCAGAGAAAACTAGAAAGACATTGTGTCCATTATATCTTTGAGTCCCAGGGCTGCTTCAGAGACAGTACAGCTCACACTCAGTGCACACTATGGATTCATAATTCATTGTGTTTCCTACTGCACCTTGCCAAGACACAACAAAACACTAGACAGCAACTGGGCTGGCTCTTCAGACACATGTGGAAGAGGATACACATAGAATTCTGTCTGAGATTATCTATGACATGTTGGCCAACATTCTTCTCTTATTTTTTCCCCTGTCAGTCCTGTGCAAGCAAAAAGAGTCCTTGGAAAATCTTTGTACACAAACACACACCAACCAGTACCCGTCAGCCAGGATGCAACAAGCCCTCTGAGCCCAGCCAAATCTACATAGGCATCTGAAACTAAACCACCTCACCGCTGAGTCCAGGAGAATTTTGTCAAGATGTTTCTGAAGGGAAAAGACACATCTGGCTTTGGAGAAGAGGCAATTCTGCCAATCATCTGCCATGAGAAGGTATGAGAAAAAGAAACCAGGCCACTCTCTTTCCTAAGGGAGAGTTGTTAATTGAGCTCTGTAGGCTCCGATCCTAAATCCACATCAGCAGCTGAACAACACTGAAATGCATCTGGATGGTCTCTGGATGCAGCAGGACAGGAATGCCCAGCCAAAAGAGCCTTACCTAGAGGCAGCACTGCTGAAGAGCCAGAAGATTCAATGCCTCACGAGGTGCTGAAGGCACCAGGCTGAAGCATTCTACTTCCTTTCCTGCCCCAAGCAGGGAAAGCACACTTCCCCAAGCTGTTGGAGGGTTTGCAAAAAGACAGTGGTAATCCACCTAACATGTCCCCTTCAGGAGTAATGGAAGAAAGATATCTCAGGGAACCATAAGTAGTGGCAGAAGCACAATTTGTGGGTAACCTATGCTTACTCATTCATATAAGCTTAATAGCACTTCTTTTGTTCAAAACCAAAATAGTTCTGAAATAAAATTGCAATTACTTGGATGATATTCATCTTTGGTAAAGCCAATGGAAAAAAATCTCCTTTCCATCAGTGGAGCCATATTAGCCAAGAATATATTTTGAAAAGGTTAAATAAGCTTGTGCTTGGGCTTTAAGGACCTTTGTGTGCTGTACCTGCCAGTTTAAATGATGACTACAAAGATCTGTTATAAAACTTTTTCCAGGAGAGGCGAGAGCTTTCCCTGTGTCACCATTTTTAATATACTATGACTCTTGCTCATAGTAAATTAGGTTATTTATCCCCTTTATTTATATGCACTGCTCTAACACAGTAGCAAACCAAAGTGATAGATGCATCTGTATCAGTCGTCAAACTCAATAACAAAGCAACTGCTACTGTGTGTAACTTTACCCTATTGCTATCAATTTATATAAAAGACAAATTCTTCAAGCTGTGAATGTGTGAAAGTAAATACTTTACCATTCTGGACTCGCCAGCAATTACTTTGTCCTCTGATCTCAAATCCTTCCCCAGGCTGCTCTCACATCATGGGGGCCTAATATTGATCTCACAGACCTTATCCCAATTCACTTTCTGGCTTCCAGAGAAGCTGTTCTTTATTACTCCGCTGAAACTGAAGGCAGAATCAGGCCAGTGGTTGGAAATAAACAGGATGCAGAGTTCTTCCATTATGGAGTTCAGAGTCTAAGCCAAAAGCAGAATGTAAAAGGCTGAAGCAAACTTTATTGGATTGCAGACTAACTCCTCCTGCCTTCTGCAGATAAATTTTACATTTAGATGTGTTGGGGAGACTCCCACTGCAGTCAATAAAAATTGTGCTCAACCAATGTTATTTGTCACCAATCCAACTGCCCATTCTGTGTTTTGCTGAAAAAAGGGGAAGTCTTCAGGCAACAAGCTTTCCTGATATTGTGCTTAAACTATCTCAGATTCCCACGTATAATATACTAGTGTTACCAGCTTCCCTGTAATATTCACTTAATTTATGCTATTCATTAACATTCTATTCCAAACTGAAGTTCTATTTCACTGGTATATTAAAATAAGCCTACTAAAGAACAGCCCATTTTAAAATAGTAACAGATGGGTATGTCTGTAGAGTTGTACAGATTTAGATTCTTACTTTAAATTTAAATAAATAATTTTAAAAAATTGAATTAGCAGTATCCACCTTTCACTTTGCTTCTTAAAACACGTGAATATCATTCTATAGACAGCAAGTCTGGGAAAAAAAAAAAAAAACCTGGAAAAATATCCATCCCTTAGTTGCTAATTATGTTTATAAATCTAAATTTTTGAATGAATGCTATACAGGACTACCCCTCAAGCAGCAGCATTCCCATAGAACCAATTTGTGGATACATCTACATCACAGTGCCTCTCAACAGAATTTTTGTTGTCTTTATATATGTAAGACAACCCATTTGCATCAGATCGTATCTCACTGATAAATGAGGATTTTTATATTTTTGAAATTAGCTCTAGATTTGAAATTTATTTTCGCAATGTCCTAGACTGAGGGGAAAATATGCTATTTTTATTCATAAATTGCTTTGCAATTCATGAAATTCCTCAATTAAAGGGAAGTAGTTGAACTCTTTACAATCATTATTTGCTTTTGGCATGAAGTGTTATCACAACAATCGTCGTTTTTAAACTGTTAACCTATTCTTGATTGTGTTTTGTCTTTCACATCCTTGTGATGTTACCTCTTAATTTAGCAAATTGCACCTTTTTTCCTAATGGCTTTTATTTCGACACTTGTTTCACAGCTTTGAAGGCGTGCCTTTTGCAGGCATGCTGTTCCGATCATCTTACACTTTACAAATATGGGCACAAAGAAGCTACAGTCTCAGATGCATTTACACAGATGCTTATCTAGAGCATAGATTCAGTACAAAAAAAATAAAAAAGGTCATCTGTCATTACCCCATACTTTGTAAGCAAAGACTGACTTAGGCCATTTGCAAAGTAAACTACTATTAAATTAGAACAAAAAGTAAAATATGCTTTAAGATACTTTTAGCCGTTCAGCAAGCTTAGAAAGGACAGCAACGACTGCACCGCAAACATTTCTCTGTTCCTGTGCCGCTAGACACTGGAAGCTCCACCGGAGAGAGTAGTGCCGTGTGGGTCCGGCGGCAGGAGGGAGCATTTACCGCAGCTCCGGTAACATCTCTCTGATCTCTCCTTTCCTTTGTGATCGCTGATCCAACAGCCCTACATCACACTGTTTTTCTGCCCGCTTGATGAGCGAGTTAATGTGTTTCTTCTCAGGAGACCTTTAAGCTTAAAATATTTCTTTAATTAACGAAGCCTAATCTTAAAAAAGCCAAAGCCGGCTGCGGCGCTTCCACACTGCGTAGCTGCGGGAGTCCCACCGGCCCGGCTCATGGGGAAGGGCTGAATAAAGGACTATGCCTTCGACTTTTCGGACTGGCCACAGAGAACCCCCGCTGCCCCCGCCGGGGTCCCGATGCCGAAGCCCCGCGACGCTCCCCGCGCTCGGCGGGCCAGGGACACAGGGACAAGGCGAGAAGGCTGCCGGTCCGACCCCAGCCCATACACCTCCCACCCTCCCCCGCCGCTTTGAACTTCTCCAGCACAGAGCCCTGAAGGTGCAGAGTGGCCCCGCGGCCCCCCGGCCCCGCCACACCACAGCGGGGGAAGGCGCAACGCCAGCAACCCATCCCCGCGCATCCCCCCGTCCCCGGCCGGCGCGGCGGAAGATGCCCCGCCGCGCCGGCCCCACACACTCCCCCCAGGGGAAAAGATGCAGCGCTGCCGCCAAACCCCTGCCTGTGCGGAGGAAGGTGCGGCACTTCCCCCGCCGCCGGAGTGACCCCCCCGCCGCAGCCGCCCGCCCCCGCCGGGGCCGCCCCGCCCGCCGCTGCCCTTCGCGAACAATGAGCCGGGAGAGCGCGGCACGGCCGCGGGGCAGCCCGACATGCCCGCCCCGCCGCGGCCCCGGCCCGCTCCGCCCGTCAGCCCGCGCAAGCTCCGCCTCGCCGCCGTAGCGCTCGGCCCCGCCCGCGAGGTACCGGGGCGGGGGCAGCCCCCATCCCAGGAGGGGCCGGGCGGCGGCGCGGGGGGTGCTCGGCCGCGTGTGGGGGCGGCCCCGGCGGGCGGTGGCTCCCGGGGGAGGGCAGCGCCCGGGGGGCGGGGGCGGCGCCGAGCTGAGCTGAGCTGAGCCGAGCTGAGCTGAACCGAGCTGTGCCGCGCTGCGCTGCTGCGAGCCGCCCGTGACACCTCCCGGCACCGGTGCCGGTGCCGCTTGCGATCGGGCGAGAGCCGCGGTGCCGCCCGCCCCCGGCGGTGCCCGCGCCCTGCGCTTTGTGCGTGCGGCGGCCACCACCACCATGCGGGGGGAGCGGCACCGCGTGGGACGCGGCGAGGCGGAGCGCCCGCGCCGCCCCGGCTGCTGCACCTCGGGGGAGCAGGGCCCCCAGAGAGCCCTGAGCGCCCGGCGGTACGTAGTGGCACCCCCGGGCCGAGAGCACTTCTCTCTCTCTTTTTTTTTTTTTTTTTTTTTTTTTTTTTTTTTTTTTTTTTTTTTTTGGCGGGGGGCGGTGGTGGTGCTGGTGAAAAGGAGGATTTCTACTGTGCAGCGTTTGCGGGGAGGAAAATCCTGTAGGTGAAGCCACATGGGTTCTCAGTGGCACAGCTTAGTGGCTTCTTGCCTTTACAGATTTCAGGCGGGGAGCGTGCGGAGTGTGTTTTAGGAGGGTTCGCCTTCACAAGAGGGCTTGAATAGATACGTTTAGAGAAGCAGTGCTTTCCAGGAATTTAAATGAGAGCCTTTTCTGTGGTTGCTTTTCAAGGCTGTTCTGTTCTATATTTGCTCTTGCAGATTGCTCTTATCAATAGTTAGGCAGCTGTGTCAGCATATAAAAATCAAGTATTCTCAGAAGAAAAGAGTATCGGCGAATTTACCTCTAATAAGCGGTGTAGATCACTTCTGTGGTCTCTGTCTATATTTTATCCGTAATGTTACCATCTCTAGTACTCAACTGTACCACTTGTAGTTCATTTTGTCATGGCAATGTGTTTCATTTGGTACTAGAAAAAATTTGGGTTACTCATTCAAGTAATTTAGGTGATCTTTTGGAGTAAGGTTTAGTCATCTCATTTCTTCACGTGTAGGGAACTGTTAGGAGATAGGCAGAAGGCAGCGACAAAGCTCAAGGTTATGGTTTTCGCACATTTTTCAATCTGATTTTCCTTTTTCAGTCTTGCAAACTTTCTGAACTGTAACCCTTTTGCAATGAAACTTTTCAGGCGTGGTGTTTGCATCCAGGTAATTTTAATGTTTATATATGTATGTATGCATCTTTTTTATTTGTTTGTTTGGTAAACTCGTGAAAGTAATTCAGCTTGTTTTGATAACGTGGGGCTGTTGGATATAGGGAAAGAATTACTACATTTTTTCCATTTAAGGATGAAGTTCTTGCAGTGAGTTGTTTTTTGTGTGTTTTTTGTTGTGTGTGTGTTTTTTTTTATGAGGGGGTTTATTATTTTTATAAATTCGAACTATAGTTTCGAGGTATTTTTCTCACATACGCATTTCTGATTAAAATACTGCTTGAAATCCTGCCATAGCTGCCTACTGGTTTTGTGTGTGGCTTGCTAAGATCAAACGCTGCACTACTGGGAAAAGATGTGCTATATTGGCTGAATGAGAAGCTGTGATAAAGGGTCTGGAGGTGAGGTCCTGTCTGTGTATTCAAACCCAAGGACGTTCAGCACTGATTTCTGCAGCTGACAACAAAGAGGTGTCTTTGCAGACACCCCTGCTGCAGGAGGCAGGGCTCCTCTTGCAATTTGCTGTGTAAGTGCTCGTTTTGAAATCTTGCAAGTGAAGACTTTGAACTATTTGTAGACAGAAGTCTTCTCTGATGGCGTTTAGGACCTCTACAACTCCTGGTGTGGTAGTCAGAGAACTCTTTTCTGTTCTGCACTTCATCTGGGCAGAGGACAGGATTTCCCAGCATTGTCCACACTGCACGTTCAGAGTTGGAGGATGTATACAAAATGTTATAGGTTTGTTGCAAGGTTACAGACCTTTACATCTATGTTTTGTGATGTATTTTCTACAGAGGAAATGAAAAGAAAGGCCAAACAATAGTGAAAGTGTTACAAAACTTTATAAAAGTAGCCTAAAAGGATGTTAGAGTTGCATATGTACACGTCCTAGTGAAACGACATCATGGATAAAGTTATATATTCACCTTATCTTTTGTCCTTTGAAATCTGCAGAATGATTGTTTTATGCACTCTTAGGTTAATCATAGAGTTGTGCATAAATAAAATCTAGAGAGACTGTTTCCTGATTTAAAATTAAAACGAAATAGAAAATAATTGTAACAGTTCAGAATGATTTTTTTCTATTGCAGATTAGTGAAATGAGATAGAACAGCATCCTGTTGGTAGCATCCTAACAATTGCATTGTGAATTGATGCTGCATGTGCTAGTTACTGCATATGCTATTGGAGCATGCTGGATTTTACATAAGTTGTTGGAATGCTACTGGTCCTTCAGAAATAGTAAGCAGATCTCTCTGCAGTAATTTTCAGATTGCATTTTGGAAACTTCTCTGTATTTGCTAGGGAATTGGCTAGTGGTCTACAGAGAAGTACTTGGGCATATGGTACAGGCTCATTTTCCATGTATTTAGCTACTAATGGCATTAAAAGAAGCCAACATATATTAAATACCTCTCTAATATTAATTATCTTGTTAAGAAATTGCTGCAAATACTGTTAAAATCACAGATGCCCTCAAAGGCTGTGTGATCAGTGTGAAGGCAAATCCAGGGAACAGGGTCAGTGGGAAATCTGTTGTTCTGTGAAGGTCTGTTGAGATGCTGTTGTTGCTAAAAAAAATAAATTGGTTGCCCCTGTGGCATTGGAACTTTGGGACTTGCTTCAAGGAATGGAAAATCTGACTTTGCTACTAGTTTTGCAGTGTAGAAATCATTTTTGTCGAGTAAGACTGTTGGCTTCCTCAGCATAAAGGTTTACAACCCTTAAATAGCTCTTCCTGACATTAAGCAGTATCCCTTTCATGTGTTTGAAGTGTGTTAGAAAGGCTGGCTGGCAACACTGGTACTGATGAATGAAAAAGAAAGAAATTTACAACATCAGATACTTTCTTTAAATTATTTCCCTTGTTGTTAGTTATTACCAAGCATTAGACTGCCACACTTGAATATAATTAATGTAGTAAATGGCTTATTAGGCACCATCTGAACTTTTGCCTTGTTTAATTATAGAAGCTTAGTGCAGTGGCCTGTGTACAATATTCACCCCAAATAATTGCTTTCAGACTTTTATCTGACCATGGTTATTTTTGGAGCAACTGCATGCGTGGCTTTTCCCTGAACTTTGCACTTCTTAGGCTCTCCTTTGCAGTGCTGCCACTACATTTCCAATTTACATAACTGAAAGCAGTTGAGTTTTGATTTTGCTGGTAGTAATTCAGAGCAATTGTTCTGCATACCATTCATATGTTAATTTGTTTTGAGATTCCTTAAAATTCTGTAATTCATATTCATATTTAGGTATGAACCAATCCATGACACAAACAGAAAAGTTTTAATACTTTTTTCCTAAAGGTTTTTAATTGGTTACTGAAGTTAAGAATATTTCTTCCAGTGACACTGTATGCCTTGATAATGATGCTAAGAGTATAAAAGGAGTGGCACAAGATGAAATTTGCACCACAAACAATTTACAATAAAGGGTTCAGATACAGCAAACCCTTCTTCATGTGCTTGATCACATAATTTCATATTAAATGCTGTCTTCCTCCAGTAGAACTCACAGTGACATATTTAGAGTGCAAGATCATATGAAAAGCTGACTACAACTACCATATTATACCTGAAAATAATATAAACCCCTTGATATTTGTTATTGGGTTTATTTTAGATCCAGTCTTTTCTAAGGAGCAACCATAGAAAACTGATTTGCTTGATCAGTAACACCTCTGAAAAAAGCAATCTTGTAGAGATATTCAGACTTATTTTTATCTGGTCTGAAAATTTTACATAGACTAGGAACAGTGCTTCAGTAGTTGGCCTTGAGCGGAAAGTTTGCCAAAATCATTCTGTTTGCTGTATGCTTTTTTTCAGAGATTGTCTCTTTCCAGAAGGATAAACGCTTTAAGGGTTAAATGTCAGGGAGTTGTTGTCAGTATTCTTGATGAGGGTCCTTGACCTTGGGAACTTGCTCCTGACAGATGCTGTGACAGACCTTGTTGTTCTACAGACGTTCAAAGCCCTCTTTGACACCAGTCACTTTGGAAAGGCCAGTTCTTCCATACTGCTGGAGATGGCTAGAGGCTGGGAAGTGCGACAGAGCTGGGCTCTGGGGTGTGGTGGCCTGGATTGCTGTTGTGTTTCTTTGGAGATGTGGCCGTGCAGCTGGTTGTGTGCGTGTTACTGTGCTTGCTGGAAGGTTGCATTTAAGAAATCTAAATGTAAGTCAAAAGTAAAAGTTCTGTGATTGTCATCAGAGTAGGATTCACTACAGGTTTTGTACTCTCCACTGTTTATTGTATTAAATTGCATGAATGCTATCCGAGAGTAAGGCGTTCTATAGCTAGGGTTGTGAAATGACTAAGTGCTCTGAGGACTGAACACAAAATCTTTGTAACAACCAAATGGCTGTTCACTGTGGAAAGTTTCTTCTTCCCATGTGATACGTATGTGTCTGGCTGGAAGATACATGGCCAACCAGATGGAGAGAGCTTAGTGAGATGGGTTTTATTGTGTGGCTTTCTGAATTCATTATGTCATTGGTGGAGCCCAAAGTCTGGGAGAGTATAAAAGTTGTTGAGGTCTCTTTATAGGATCCTCAGTTTAAAGTAGCTCTGCTCAGTTCTGTATTGATTTTGGTAGCGGAGTTGCCTTTCAATCCATCACTGGAAGGACTAGTTTTAGTCTAGTCACCGTTAAATCAGTTTCACAGCAAAGGCTGTGATCTTGTCTCTATGAAATACCAAGTCACTTTGGCCCATGATGTTCTGTTTGAGGGACAGGGACCTGAGTAAAACCTTCTGTGTATAAAAACGTAGTGATGTGCTCTACAATCATGGTCCAAAATGCCCTCAAACATTGCATAATTGAGTAGTGAAAAATTTGATGTTCTTCTATGAGGCTGATGCCTAGATGAGAAAATGCTAGTTAAAGTGCTGTTTCAACACAATCTGAAAAATTTTGAAGGTATTTTATAATTCACTATGCAAAACAGGAAGTGTTTTGCTCTGGACTGACAATGGGGTATCAGGCCATTCACCCTTACACTGCGGCAGAGAAGGGAGGTCAGTAACAAATGAAAGTTGTTACCATCTGATGGCTGTTTAGTCACCTGTGAAATGTGTTTTCTAATAGACAGGTTTCCACATCATAGGAGCAGCAACCGCAATTAAATGAGCGGAGCCAGCCCCCTTGTCAGAAGACTCGTACATCATGCCTCATCTTAGCCTCAAACCGATCCCGCTAGTTAAGTGCTTCCAAACACAGCGCAGGGACCCGTGATTGCTAATGGTGCTCTGTCTGCTGGGGGAGAAAGAGCACGTTGTATTGTAGAAGCTATTGGCCTGTCTCTCCTAGAAAGGCTTAATCTGTAAAAGCAGAAAAAAGTAGAGCCTGTAGCAGCATCCGTGAACATGTGAGTAAGTTGCTTGCAAAATGTTCAAAGAATTGACTGGTTTTAGGATTTCATCCTGTGGAAGCGTTATAGAGGGCACCCTGTATCACCCAGTGAAGCTAACTAATCATGTCCAGACGTGGTAGTAGTTAACTGACAAATTGGCTGAAAAGTCAGTGATTAATTTTAACAAATGAGTTTTCTTTGAATGCAAACTCGTGCATGCCAATTATAACAGTATGGCTATGATAAAATTAGGCACTTTTATTCTTTAAGCTTCAAATCTACTGGTGTATGATTATTTTTTCCATTGTCTTAAAACATCTACATTTTGTGGGGAGTGTCATTAAGGGAGGGGAACGAACACACATCGAAAAGAAGTGCTCTTTCTCCCCCAAATACCCTAAATTCCAATGCAATGTTCAAAGTGTTTGCAAAATTCTTTTCTAGTGGTTAAGGAGTATTTAATGTATTGTATCATACAGTCTCAAGGCCTCTGTTGTCTTCAGTGATGCACAGGCATAATATCTAGTCCCATAAAATCAGTGAAAGGTCTTGCATTGCCTTAAAGTGGGCTTAGGGTCTAGACACCGGTGAGTCCTAGTCTGTGTTCCAGCTGCAGGCTCCTTTTAACAGGAGACTGTG